AATGAAGGGGGGGGGTTAGGACACACATGGATACATCCGTCAAGGAAAACATTTGTACATAATCCCACTACTTACCAGATGTTCTCTGGTGGTTTACTTGATGTAGCTGGATCACTCGTAACCTATCTAATTATAACATACCCCTACTGGCCAGTCTAAGGTTGCTATAAACTAGAAGGGTTACTTAACTGTGGGTGATTGATATTCCCCATTTCTTGATTCACCATCTCATTTTCGATGTCCTGCTACACCGACACGATTCTCATTCCAGCAGGACGAGGTATCCGCTGGTTTGTCCTGCTTTAGACGTCATGACTCAAGGAGTTTCCCTTTCCTCGTCTCGTTAACAACGGGTCTAGGGTTCACTCGGAGCAAACGACTTATTTCACTTCACTATTCTCTTAACTTTGCGTTATATCATTAATACAATTACAAATTTACAAGCCGATTTAACGTCTCATAACTAAATTTTAAAAAACTAGAGGTCACTCCATTAAGATCTGAGACCGATGATTAATCCAAGGGTAACTTTCCCCAGGACACAGTCCATTGTGGCGCGTCAGTCACCCGCTCCTTCTCTTTCACACTTTTACCACTCTATTACTGTGTCCCGTAAATCCCGTTCCCCACTCTCCACCAGGAACAATTACGACACTTCTTATTATGAAATGAGGCCTATATTAATCCTTAGGCCACCGTGAACGTCAATTTCGTGGTTCCATGTTTTCTCAGCTTCCTCACCACCATTCAAAACAATACGCGCCCTCCCCCCCGCACATCCGCGCATGCGCAAAGGGAACTCTTGGTTCTACTCTTATTTTCAAATACATTTTTGACCCATATAGACACATTAAACACCTATTAGGCACTATAGTTTCGGAAAATCAAAAAATTTTCCACAATAATATAATAATAATAAATACGATAGAATTGAAGAAGGAAATTGTACAAAAATACGAGGGAGTGGTTGACACATCGTCAGTGTGGCTTTGTTTATGCTGGAGTGAGCATTAGTCTCCGTGCTCTTCCAAACATTTCACAATAATTCACTGTGTTTGGTGCTTGTAGATTGAGTGCAACTGGAGTGGTAGAGGCAGTGGTTGAGGAAGCGGTTGAGGCAGTGGTTGAGGAAGCAGTTGAGGCAGCAATTGAGGCAGCGGTTGAGGCAGCGGTTGAGGCAGCGGTTGAGGCAGCGGTTGAGGCAATGGTAGAGGCAGCAGTTGAGGCAGTGGTTGAGGCAGTGGGTGAAGCAGTGGGTGAGGCAGTGGGTGAGGCAGTGGGTGAGGCAGTGGGTGAGGCAGTGGTTGAGGCAGTGGGTGAGGCAGTGGTATTTAATAACATACATGTTATTAATAATAATAATAATACATTATTAATAATATGTACTATTATTATTTATAACATGTATGTTATTAAATACCACTGCCTCAACTGCTGCCTCTACCATTGCCTCAACCGCTGCCTAAACCGCTGCCTCTACCACTGCCTAAACCGCTGCCTCTACCATTGCCTCAACCGCTGCCTCACCCACTGCCTCACCCACTGCCTCAACTGCTGCCTCAACCGCTTCCTCAACCACTGCCTCTACCACTCCAGTCGCACTCAATCTACAAGCACCAAACACAGTGAATTATTGTGAAATGTTTGGAAGAGCACAGAGATTAATGCTCACTCCAGCATAAACAAAGCCACACTGACCATGTGTCAACCACTCCCTCGTATTTTTGTACAATTTCCTTCTTCAGTTCTATAGTACAAACATGTATTTATTATTATTATTATTATTATTATTATTATTATTATTACTATTGTTATTATTAGCAGTAGCAGAAATGTTTGATTCTTTGCTGTGTTCAAGAGTAAACACATGATGTCACCGTCCAATACCTGTCCGAATAGCCATTCCAATATGCAGTTATGAATGGTTTTACATTATTTATACTGTAGTTTAACAGCAAATAATGAACAAACAAAACACTCACCACACTGAGTGGTGGGAGGGCTGGCTGCCCGTTGCGGGGGTCGGAGGGAGGGTAGTAGGGACTCGCAGTGGTTGAGGAAGTGGTGGAGGCATTGGTGGAGGCATTGGTGGAGGCATTGGTGGAGGCATTGGTAGAGGCAGTGGTGGAGGCAGTGGTATTTAATAACATACATGTTATTAAACCATAACATGTATGTATTTAGTACAATTTATGACGTTTTCATGTATTTTATGATTGTTCATGGTTCAACAAGTTAAGGAAGCAGTATTTTATTATATTTCCCTACAATATATTGGGGCACCAAACATTCACGATTTTTCAACATTCGCGAGGCTCTTGATCCCCTAAATCTCGCGAATGTTGAGGGAGACCTGTATATAAAATATATCCATAATATTTTCAAAGTCACAGGCATAGGTCTCATTACAAAAATCACTAATACACAAGGGCCCCTAACTGATCAAGGTCCTCCCTCCCAGCTCACAGTCAAACCACCCACCTCCCTGCCATGTCAACCTCTACCCATCCTCCCTCACCACCAGCCACTGATATATTATTATTATTATTTTTTATTATCACACTGGCCGATTCCCACCCAGGCAGGGTGGCCCGAAAAAGAAAAGCTTTCACCATCATTCACTCCATCACTGTCTTGCCAGAAGGGTGCTTTACACTACAGTTTTTAAACTGCAACATTAACACCCCTCCTTCAGAGTGCAGGCACTGTACTTCCCATCTCCAGGACTCAAGTCCAGCCTGCCGGTTTCCCTGAACCCCTTCATAAATGTTACTTTGCTCACACTCCAACAGCACGTCAAGTATTAAAAACCATTTGTCTCCATTCACTCCTATCAAACACGCTCACGCATGCCTGCTGGAAGTCCAAGCCCCTCGCACACAAAACCTCCATTACCCCCTCCCTCCAACCTTTCCTAGGCCGACCCCAACCCCGCCTTCCTTCCACTACAGACTGATACACTCTTGAAGTCACTCTGTTTCGCTCCATTCTCTCTACATGTCCAAACTACCTCAACAACCCTTCCTCAGCCCTCTGGACAACAGTTTTTGGTAATCCCGCACCTCCTCCTAACTTCCAAACTATGAATTCTCTGCATTATATTCACACCACACATTGCCCTCAGACATGACATCTCCATTGCCTCCAGCCTTCTCCTCGCTGCAACATTCATCACCCATGCTTCACACCCATATAAGAGCGTTGGTAAAACTATACTCTCATACATTCCCCTCTTTGCCTCCAAGGACAAAGTTCTTTGTCTCCACATACTCCTAAGTGCACCACTCACCCTTTTCCCCTAATCAATTCTATGATTCACCTCATCTTTCATAGACCCATCCGCTGACACGTCAACTCCCAAATATCTGAATTCATTCACCTCCTCCATACTCTCTCCCTCCAATCTGATATCCAATCTTTTGTCACCTAATCTTTTTGTTATCCTCATAACCTTACTCTTTCCTGTATTCACTTTTAATTTTCTTCTTTTACATACCCTACCAAATTCATCCACCAATCTCTGCAACTTCTCTTCAGAATCTCCCAAGAGCACAGTGTCATCAGCAAAGAGCAACTGTGACAACTCCCACTTTATGTGTGATTCTTTATCTTTTAACTCCACGCCTCTTGCCAAGACCCTCGCATTTACTTCTCTTACAACCCCATCTACAAATATATTAAACAACCACGATGACATCACACATCCTTGTCTAAGGCCTACTTTTACTGGGAAATAATTTCCCTCTTTCCTACATACTCTAACTTGAGCCTCACTATCCTCGTAAAAACTCTTCACTGCTTTCAGTAACCTACCTCCTATACCATACACCTGCAACATCTGCCACATTGCCCCCCTATCCACCCTGTCGTACGCCCCTATCCACCCTGTCATACGCCCCTATCCACCCTGTCATACGCCTTTTCCAAATCCATGAATGCCACAAAGACCTCTTTAGCCTTATCTAAATACTGTTCACTTATATGTTTCACTGTAAACACCTGGTCCACACACCCCCTACCTTTCCTAAAGCCTCCTTGTTCATCTGCTATCCTATTCTCCGTCTTACTCTTAATTCTTTCAATAATAACTCTACCATACACTTTGCCAGGTATACTCAACAGACTTATCCCCCTATAATTTTTGCACTCTCTTTTGTCCCCTTTGCCTTTATACAAAGGAACTATGCATGCTCTCTGCCAATCCCTAGGTACCTTACCCTCTTCCATACATTTATTAAATAATTGCACCAACCAACTGATATATTAACATAATGTAAATACTAAATCTTTAGTTCTTGAGCAATCTTCACCAAAACAAATACAAGTTTTCCATACAATGAACATAAAGTTAGTGGATTTTGTAGAAAACTAAAAAAAGATTTTTCTTTAATACAACGGCCATCTACTACTGAGGCAGGGTGACAGAGGGGGCTTAAAGAGGTTTTGTGTACAAGGAGCTAGGACATACAGCAGGCATGTATGAGATAGACAGGAGTGAATAGAGACTAATGGTTTCTGAGACCTGAAGAGCTGTTGGGGTGTAAGCAGGGTAATATGTTGTGAAGAGATTCAAGGAAACTGGTTAGCTGGACTTGAATCCTGGAGGTGGGAAGTACAGAGCCTGAACTCTAGAGGAGGGTGGGGATATTTGCTGTTTGGAGGGTCATCTGAACTGTCACAGCTTCGCTCCTCTGGCAAGACTGTGATAAGTGCAAATGATGATGAAAAAGAAACGTTTTTGGGTCACCCAGCCTCGGTGGGTAACTGCCACGATGTTGGAAGAGAGAGTTATTGTTCGTAAGTAATTAATCTGTTCCAAAATGCCAATGTTGTAAGTGCGTAGCTTCGTAATGTAACAAAAAATATCCAGGACCGATCTGGGGGATACTATTAAGAATTTAGCATAGGCCACTTTGCCACTACAAGATATAACAATACAGGAGATAACAAAATAAAATTAACAACAGACTATTTCTTAATATCCAAATTATCCAGCTTACCTTGAATGGTTTATCATTTGTATGAATTCTCATATGTCGAACCAAATCGTTAGGCTTTTTGAATTCTTTTGTGCAATCTTTATGCATACATATGTGCCACCTCACATCACCAACCAGCTTTACAAAGACTGTGTATCTCCTGCAAGATTAGAGAAAGCCTCAGTCATATTGTCCCACAATGTTAATGCTACAGTATGTTCCAGCTTAGTGTCCATTCCCTTAGGTTAGTTTTTCTTAGCAACTAAGGAAACTTTAGAGAGCATATTTACTGAATGATCATCTGCACTATGATAGTACAACTTTTTCATATTCATTCTATGTTTAACCCTTTGAGGGGTCGGTCATGTACAAGTACATCATTGCAGCCAGGGTCGGTCACGTACTTGTACGCCTAAATTGTAGCGCCTTCAAATCTGGTGGAAGAAAGCTGACAGGCCTACATATGAAAAAATGGGTCTGTGTGATCAGTGTGCACTGTATAAAAAAAATCCTGAAGCACGCTGTGCATGAGAAAAAAAAACTTTGACTGTGTTTTTGGTTTCAAACAGCGACTTTCTAGTGTATTTTCGTATGGTATTTATGGTTGTATTCTCGTTTCCTTGGTCTCATTTGATAGAATGGAAGATATATTGGTTTCATGATGACAGGTACCTTGAAATTGAGCTCATAGTGAAAATGATCGAATTTTGTCGATGTTCAAGAGCAAACATATCAAGCCATGCATCCAATACACGTCAACTCGCGAGTCTAATATTCTTTCACAAGTGCACTGATATCATTTATACCATTTTTACAATGATGCAGTAGTATACATAACAGAAAACCTTCTATTTTCTGTGAGAATAAAAATTCAAAATGGAAAACAAAAGTAATGTAAGAGGGACCTAGAGACGTGACTAATGAACAGATAAAATGTTATGTTAGTGCCAGGAATGTCTGTCTTGTTTATTCTGGACCCTATTTCGAAATTGGCATCTTTTGAAATTTGTGTGAAATTGCCCAAATTGCCAATTTCTGACCACTTTACTGGGTAGTTGAAATCGGTAAATGGGTGGATTCTTGTACTCAGTCGATAGAACAAATGGAGTTCTGGGGAAACAGCTATGATTTTAGTCAACTGCAACATTGGAAATGGTCGAAAATAGGGCTCAAAGTGGGCAAAATCGCCCACTTCAAGACTGCTAATTTCGCGAGCATAATTCTGTAAGTTTTCCATCAAATTTCACACTTTTGGTGTCATTATGATCGGAAAAAGATTCTCTATCATTTCATGGGAAAATTTTGTTTATTTTTCAAAATTTTTTCGACCCTGAGAACGAGTTTGGGAGAGGGCCTCTCGACCCTCAAAGGGTTAAAGGGTGCTGATACCATATTTCATTAAAAATAGAAAAGGAAAGGTTTACTGGAATTTTTTCTGGACTCCATATATAATTAGTAAAATAGAGTTCACTTAACAACCATTTTCTATGGAATAAATCTTGGTTGATAAGTGGAGCTCATTATATGTAGTCTGTGCAGAGCATTATGATGCAGGCTACAAGACAAACATTTGATCTATGATATGCGTAATAGATGGTTGAAGTCTGGCCTTTCATATACTAATTGCAGCCTCCTGAGTGGGCTCACCTATCTTTGGGCTGATCTCTGCATTATGTTCAGTGCAGCCCAGATGAAAGCATACGTGATGGATAATAATGTTAGAAGAGGATAGTGTTTTGTTCTCTGCTTCATGGCTGCTCCAGAGGTGGAGCAGCCATGAAGCAGAGCAAAACAACAAACTACTATCCTCTTCTATCATTATTATTCATCTAACATGACATCATTTGAACTTCAATAAATATAGTGTAGAGTCTGAAGCAATGGTAAATGAGCCCACTCTTGAAGCTGCATGGCCCCACTAGCAATAGGAGTACAAGAGTTACCCAAGACTTCTAGGAGGTTCAGACTTCAACCATCTGCTGCCATATTTTCCAACGACGAAAAGTCTGTCCTTCAGCCAGTCATAACTTTCCATGCAGATTGTATTTATTCAGGAGTCATCTTGGTGGTTATTATAACAATCTCTCAGTATTTATATTGGTTAAATTTGTAATGAAACATTACTGAATAAAAATTTTTTGAAAAAAAAAAAAAAAAAAAAAAAAAAAAAAAATCCGTTACATTAGCATACAGTGTATTTGCTAACTAGCTGCATCACATGTATAAAACCTGAACATGTCTGATAAAAAATATTATGAATTTAGGCTGTCTTAAGAAACATTTTCAAGGATGCATTAAAAATTCAAATTCTGTAGAAATTGCTAAATTCAAAACTTGATAATAACAAGACAATGACAAACTATACATGGGCTATAAAAATCTTGTTTCACGAATAATAACACACGTAGGTGTATGAATGCAGCTATCACTCTAAATGGAAAAGTTATAGAATTTTTTGTAAGTGAGCAAAAGGACTACAATTGAATATTTTAAATGCATTTGACAGCTACAGAAAAAAGTTATCAGAAGAGTTCATGAAAACAAAACTTGGAAAATGGAAATGCTGTTAATCTTTTATCTAAGCCAAGAACTACTTTATGATGAAAAAAAGAGCAAATCAATGATAAACTTACTTCATGCCACTTTCATCATTACGGTCAATAAGTGTCATGACCCGCACCTTCTTACATTCACCAAACCGAGTTGCATCAATCTGTCCATCCACAGGCCAACTATCATCTAGCTGCACTTCATCTTCAGTCTTAATCTTCAGCTTAACACCTAACACACAAGCCATTTATTGATCCTCCCCTCTTCAGGTCTATTATTTGTTAACCCTTAAACGGTCCAAACAGATCAACGTTCAAATTCGTATTGCTACAAAAGTAGATCTACTTTTTTTTACGTATTTTCAAATATAACAAAAAAAATTGTAGATAAAAGTTTTTTTACATGTTTTCAAATGTAAAACAAAAAAGAAGATCTATATTTTTTTACATACTTTCAGATGTTGAAAAAACGTATATATACGTTTGGACCATTTAAGGGTTAAACAAGTAACATACAGATACAACATTGCCAATTTTTTTTTTTTAAATTACAGCCTTGAAATTTCAATAAACTTTTAAATTCAAGTCTGAAATGTTATTGTGAAGTAGAGATTTAAAGCTTTACTTATTTGTCACTTTATAAGTTAAGACATGGCTTACATCAATTTGCATAATTTTTAAAACATATTTAAGAAACCAATAATGCATTAATAATTCAATATAAACAAATTTCTCCACAGTAAATCAAACAAAGCAAATGAAAAATATATACATTACTAAATACACAATAAAAGTAAAACACAGACTGTTACCATCTCTGTTAAGTTGTATTTGGTCCCGTGACTGAGTAAGTCCGATATTCTTTAAAGCTTGTTGCAAGATGTCTCCTTCACTCGTACTTTCTGGAGCTTGAGTATCTGCAGTGTCACTTATCCCTGATGCAGTATTCTGTTAACATGAATTTTTTTATTACTCATAATTTTAGTTATATAGCGGACTACTGAATAACACAAATTTTGCGACCTATTATCAATTAGCGTGGGAGGTAACTGTATAGCATGAGATAAATTTATGGAAAAATACTTGTAAAGTGGTGCATAACAGCAAGCAATCCATAATTACACTTTGATGCTGAAAATAATGGTTACTGATGATAAGGTGTGAAAAGTAATTAAACAAGAAAATGAAGAGATGATCTTGTAGAGCCACCATGAAAAGCTTTAGCTTGGAGTTTATAGGGTCACTATAGCTCTGGGGTTGTAGCCTGAATAACCAATAACAACAACCTCCCACACCATTTTATTACTGTACAATACTACTACACTTTTGTTGCTTCTTCATTTCTCAAAAACATTCATCTTTAGTGTATGTTTGTTTGTTATAGGTGTGGTGAGTTCCTATATGTCTGGTCCAGTTTGGTAAGGAAATGTGGCTTATTGTTACTGATGTTGGCAAGTGATGATGGTGGTAGCTGTGACTGCTTGCTGCAAGTCTATACAAGTATTGTACAGGGCCACAGCAACCCTCCATACATACATACATATAAATTCACACCCACACACACTCACACCAACACACACACAGCCAGGAGCTGAAACTCGACCCCTACAACCACAATTATGCGAGTACACACACACTCTTTGTATATCAACAAGCAACTGCAACCACTAGTACAATTTAGTAAGAAAATATGGCTTATTTTTTACTGATACTAAAAGATCAGGAATTGTTAAATGTTGATGAAGATAGGGAAGCTGTGATTTCGTGTATAGGGCAAGGAGGAATAACATCTTGTAGGAGTGAGGAAGAGCCAGTTGTGAGTGTGGGGGAAGTTCGTGAGGCAGTAGGTAAAATGAAAGGGGGTAAGGCAGCCGGGATTGATGGGATAAAGATAGAAATGTTAAAAGCAGGTGGGGATATAGTTTTGGAGTGGTTGGTGCAATTATTTAATAAATGTATGGAAGAGGGTAAGGTACCTAGGGATTGGCAGAGAGCATGCATAGTTCCTTTGTATAAAGGCAAAGGGGATAAAAGAGAGTGCAAAAATTATAGGGGGATAAGTCTGTTGAGTGTACCTGGTAAAGTGTATGGTAGAGTTATAATTGAAAGAATTAAGAGTAAGACGGAGAATAGGATAGCAGATGAACAAGGAGGCTTTAGGAAAGGTAGGGGTGTGTGTGGACCAGGTGTTTACAGTGAACATATAAGTGAACAGTATTTAGATAAGGCTAAAGAGGTCTTTGTGGCATTTATGGATTTGGAAAAGGCGTATGACAGGGTGGATAGGGGGGCAATGTGGCAGATGTTGCAAGTGTATGGTGTAGGAGGTAGGTTACTGAAAGCAGTGAAGAGTTTTTACGAGGATAGTGAGGCTCAAGTTAGAGTATGTAGAAAAGAGGGAAATTTTTTTCCCAGTAAAAGTAGGCCTTAGACAAGGATGTGTGATGTCACCGTGGTTGTTTAATATATTTATATATGGGGTTGTAAGAGAAGTAAATGCGACGGTCTTGGCAAGAGGCGTGGAGTTAAAAGATAAAGAATCACACACAGGGTGGGAGTTGTCACAGCTGCTCTTTGCTGATGACACTGTGCTCTTGGGAGATTCTGAAGAGAAGCTGCAGAGATTGGTGGATGAATTTGTTTGGGTGTGCAAAAGAAGAAAATTAAAGGTGAATACAGGAAAGAGTAAGGTTATGAGGATAACAAAAAGATTAGGTGATGAAAGATTGAATATCAGATTGGAGGGAGAGAGTATGGAGGAGGTGAACGTTTTCAGATATTTGGGAGTGGACGTGTCAGCGGATGGGTCTATGAAAGATGAGGTGAATCATAGAATTGATGAGGGAAAAAGAGTGAGTGGTGCACTTAGGAGTCTGTGGAGACAGAGAACTTTGTCCTTGGAGGCAAAGAGGGGAATGTATGAGAGTATAGTTTTACCAACGCTCTTATATGGGTGTGAAGCAGGGGTGATGAATGTTGCAGCGAGGAGAAGGCTGGAGGCAGTGGAGATGTCATGTCTGAGGGCAATGTGTGGTGTGAATATAATGCAGAGAATTCGTAGTTTGGAAGTTAGGAGGATGTGCGGGATTACCAAAACTGTTGTCCAGAGGGCTGAGGAAGGGTTGTTGAGGTGGTTCGGACATGTAGAGAGAATGGAGCGAAACAGAATAAACTTCAAGAGTGTATCAGTCTGTAGTGGAAGGAAGGCGGGGTAGGGGTCGGCCTAGGAAGGGTTGGAGGGAGGGGTAAAGGAGGTTTTGTGTGCGAGGGGCTTGGACTTCCAGCAGGCATGCGTGAGCGTGTTTGATAGGAGTGAATGGAGACAAATGGTTTTTAATACTTGACGTGCTGTTGGAGTGTGAGCAAAGTAACATTTATGAAGGGATTCAGGGAAACCGGCAGGCCGGACTTGAGTCCTGGAGATGGGAAGTACAGTGCCTGCACTCTGAAGGAGGGGTGTAAATGTTGCAGTTTAAAAACTGTAGTGTAAAGCACCCTTCTGGCAAGACAGTGATGGAGTGAATGATGGTGAAAGTTTTTCTTTTTCGGGCCACCCTGCCTTGGTGGGAATCGGCCAGTGTGATAATAAAAAAAATAAAAATACTAAAAGATGATGGCAGTGGTGGTAAGTAATGGTGGTGGCTGTTGATACTGTCTGACACATTTGTACAGGGCTTCACCAATCCTTTATGTAAACACAATAACATATCAACAAGCAAAAGCAATCACTGGTCCAGTTTTGTAAGGAAATGTGAGTAACTTTTACCAGTGGCAATATAAACACAAATGCAGTATAATGTGATCCTTTATTGACTACGTTTCGCCCACACAGTGGGCTTTTTCAAGTCACAAACAGAACTACCTGGGGTGGAAGGAACGCGAGTATTTATAGTCCGGCTGAGGTCAGGTGAAGAATGCTGCATCTGATGATGTACCGAGTTGGGTTGTAGAGTCTAAAAACTTGGGTAGCTTGGAAAGGAGACTGGACAAGTTTGTGAGCAGACCTTCTACAGTGTTCTTATGTGGGATAGCGATGAAGAAGTTTCTTGGCAAGTGGTTCAGCTATGTTATAGAAGCCACTATTCTGGTTGAAGTTGTCGGATATAGAAATAAGTGATGATTCCAGGATTCTTCGGTATTGGGTGTTGTCTTCTGTGGCGATAAGTCTTGAGTTTCTGTAGTTTATCAAGTGGTTGTGTGAATTACGGTGTTGTACGCAGGCATTCCTTGTGTCGTCAGACCTGCTTGCGTATTGGTGTTCTGAAATACGTGTTTGGAGGTCCCTTGATGTTTCGCCCACGTATAAACTTGTTGCAGTCATTACAAGGGATTATGTATACCCCTGCAGAGGATGGAGGCTTGTCCTGCCTACTACTGGTGATGTCCTTGATGGTCGTGGTTGTGGAGGTAGATACTTGGAATGATGTTTTGGCAAAGATGTTGGAAACATGTTTGGCAATGGAGTTGGTGGAAGGACTATGTATCTCTTCTCGGCAGTGTCTTCTCTGGGTGTGTTGAAGATGTTTAGTGCTCGCCGTCTGCAGTCTCTGATGAAGTGACGAGGATAGTGGAGTTTGGAAAATACCTGTTCAATTATAGTGCATTCTTCCTCAAGGAACTCGTTGCTGCAGATTCTGAGTGCACGCAGGAAGAAGCCTATAATTACACCACGTTTGGTTTTTGGTGTCGTGGTGAGAGTAGAAGTGGAGAAGATCGTTTTGGTTGGTGGGTTTTCGATAGACTTAAAACGAAGTTCATGGTCAGCTTTGCAGAGTAGAACATCAAGGAAAGGAAGAGTGTTGTCGACCTCTTCTTCAAGTGTGAACTGGATTGAAGGCTCGACCTGGTTGAGCTTGTCTTGGAGAGCTTGAACGTTGAAGCGTTTAGGAGTTATGAGGAGAATGTCGTCAACATAACGGAGCCAGGTGACAGACGAAGGAATAATGGTGGAGAAACGTTCGGCTTCTAGATGTTCCATGTATAGGTTCGCTAGGACTGCACTGAGTGGCGAACCCATGGGTAGTCCAAAAGTCTGCTGAAGAGGTGATTTTCAAAAGAGAAACACGTAAAGCCAACACATAGTTCAACCAGGTCGATGAAGTCGCTGGCTGGAATGGGAAGATCAAGTGAATCGTCAATTTTCTTGCGCAAGAGATCGATGGCTTGTTTAGTAGGTACTTTAGTGAATAGGGAAGTCACGTCAAGGCTGGAAAGTTTCTTGTTCCTGATGTTGATGTTGCGAATGCGATTGAGAAGATCACCTGAGTGTTTGAGATGTGCTGGACTGATAGTGCCCAAGAGTTTCGAGAGGTGTTTGGCGAGAATTCCTGAGAGCTTGTGGGGAGCACTGCCTATTCCCGAGGATATGGGCCTCAGTGGGATACCAGGCTTGTGAGTCTTTGGCAGGCCGTACATTCTGGCAGGTCTGGGGTTGCTGGGCATGGTGTGCAGAAGTTTCTTCCCTTGTTCTGAGCTCCTCAGAATGCGGCGAGTCCTTTGAAGAAAAGTTTTAGTAAGGTTGTCCACTTGGTTAGTTGTGAGAGGTTTGTAGGTATCTGGGTCATTAAGTAGATTGAGCATTTTGTTCCTGTAATCGTCAGTGTTCATGATGACAACACCACCTCCTTTATCAGCGGTGGTGACCCTGATGGTCGTGTCTTCTGCTAAACCTTTGAGTGCATTGATGTAACGTCGGGGTATGACTGGGGAGCTGCGTGTTGAGATGGCTGCTGAGATGATGCCTTGAAGATAGCCTTTTTGGATACCTACAAACCTCTCACAACTAACCAAGTGGACAACCTTACTAAAACTTTTCTTCAAAGGACTCGCCGCATTCTGAGGAGCTCAGAACAAGGGAAGAAACTTCTGCACACCATGCCCAGCAACCCCAGACCTGCCAGAATGTACGGCCTGCCAAAGACTCACAAGCCTGGTATCCCACTGAGGCC